TGTTTGGGCCATGAAGGCTTTACCCTACTGGGTGGGATTACTGCCTTTATAAAAGGGCAAGTTCAGCTCACTTTTGTCTCTTGGCCTTTCTGCCTTTTGCAATGGGATGATGCAGAAATAAGGCCTTTGCCAGATGCAAGCACCTTGATATTGGACTTCCCAGCCTCCAGAACTGTGAGCCAATCAAATTTTGTGCACTGTGAATTATGTAGTCTGTGCTATTGTCTTATTGAAACACACAGTGAACTAAAATATTGCTTTTGACAACACGATCTTTGTTTCAGGTTAGGGGGGTCCTCATCTTTCCGACTCACGATGTAGCCAAACCAACCTTCTACCCATGAAGCCCTGAGCATTTCTGAACATCTGGAGTCATCATCCTGGGCCCTAGCTTTTCTTAAGATAGCCTCATTTCTGGGAACAGGTTGTGCTTGTGTGATTGACACTAGTATCACCTTGGTTGAGAAGCATCTGTCCCAGTCCAACAGTATCCCTGATTTTCAACCTCAAGAAAAGTCATCAAGACCATGGTTACCTGTCTCCCAGGAGTTCCTGGTTTCTTATCCATACTTGTCTACTTGCCCTCCAGTGATGGGCTCTCCAGGAAAGTAGCAACCTTGGGGGAGTCTCAAGAGGTCATGTATTGGACCTCCCTACCCTGGCATTGAAGGCTTGATGACCCTATGAGCTAGACAGCACATACTCGACTACAGGAAATTATTCTGGTCTTTCTCTGGAACAACAATGCATATCTTTTTCAAAGTGGCTTTCTCTTCTGCCTATTCCTTACAATCGTTGGAGAAAAAAAATAAAGTTTGGCTTCAGGGTGATTTTCTGTTCTTCCTGTTCCTAGAAAGGGTCTGAAAATTCACCCTACCTAAAGAGTCTTAATCGTTGTCATCTTTAGTCTTTGAGAAAATCTGTTTGGATTTTGATAATTTTTCAGTTAAAAACATCCTTCTCTACTCACCATTTTACCTAAGCCTCACATTCATTATGGAAATTAAGTAAGGCAAGATTCTATCGTGGAGTTCAGATTCCATAGTCCTGCCCAAGGCCACACAGCCGGAAAGTGGGGACAAGTCTAGAACTTATATTTCCCTTACTAAAGGAGCATTTTCTAAACCATATGAAAGCTAACATTGTGACTTTGAGGAACCCATAGTCTAATGGGGTTTTTCCACTTCTGTTGGCTCTAATATGTTGGAAGATTCTCTATGAGTATATCCTGAGTTTAAAGGAATTTAACTGAGTATATCCTGAGTTTAAAGCTGGCTTCAGGCCTGGGGTATTGAAGGGGTTGTTTTCTGGGGTTTGGGCACAGAAATGATTCTTTGGGAATCTCCTACATGCAGGCAGAGCCATGGCTATGTTCTTGAAATGAGATTGAGGTTTAGTCCACAAGTAAATGGTCCCTACAGGTGCTGTTGGTTTGAGCATTGGGCATAGAGTCCCTGTCAGAAGAATAATACCTGTATTTTATACTCCACACTGACAGATCCCTCTAGGACTGCTGGGAGCTCTCAGCTGAGGGAATGTCATCATTTAAAGTTTAAACATTTAGAGGTGTATAGATATATAAAATATTAATATCATTCATTTTGAGGGGGGAGAAGAAGAAACTACAGCACCTAAAAGTCTTTTTTTTCTCTTGCCCTCTGGCCTGAAATTCTGTGTTAAGATGTTTGGAATGTATTCTTTGTGCAGCTGAGACCTGAAGAGCTCCTCTTACCTTCTCTTCTGTATTCTCTTTTCTCTGCTCCCCTCCTGTTTTTCCTTCACACTCCCTTTCCTTCTTCCACCCATTTTCTTTTCATCTCTTTTTTTCCCCTTAAAGTCTCAACTCTTTTTATGCATGGTACCAAGGCTGACACACACAAAAGAAGAAGGCAGATATGTAGGAAGACTCTAGTCTACACCTTCTCATTGGCCCACTTGAATAGAAATCTTGTTGCCTAAAAATACATAAAAAATACTCTAGAATGAAAAGTGGCTATTTAACACATAGCTAGGAAAGGCTGCCTTCCCAAAGTATGAGTTAGTCTTTAAGGGTAGAGGGAGTATGTACTTTGGTTGTCTCTGAGTGCTGATTTCACCAGGAAGGAGGAGAGAGGATAGTGGGCCGGGTATCCAGATGTGGATTGTTGGTGAAGGAGGGAGAATCCCAATGGGAATGAAGCAGGGAGTGTTGTCCCAGTGATCTCCATCCCAGGGAAGTTATCTTGTGATTGGTGAGCCTTCCCTTGTTAAAAAGACACCTGTTCTATGTGATGCCCTATTTAATAGTGGTGAGGAGTTGACCCAGATAGTCTCCTAAGGTATGAAAACTGCCTTATCCCAGGCTTAATGGGGCACCTCGGGATTTGGTGATTTTCAGTAAATACCCGTTAAGCCCTGTGGTCTGTTTGCCAATCTGCTCAAATTCAGAGGCTCTTAATCTCCCATAAAAAATGTGGCCAATGACAATTTATTCAACAGAAAGTACTCAGAACTTTCTCTGCAAACACAATTAAAAAGTCATCATACTGTATATTGTATGCCCAGTGCGTGCCTGGTCTTAGGAGCTTGATCTATTTTATCCTCTGTGTCCACAGTGATCCCATAAGGTCAGTGTGGCTGTGTCCATTTCTCACATGGTAAGCTGCTGTTCCAAGAGGTGATGTCACTTGCCCAAGACAGCAAGTGATTGAGCTGTTTTGCTGGCTGTCCCTCCTGGTAGCAGACAGCTCAGGGCTGCTCTGACCTTCAGGGTATTTACCCCATCCATCCGCTGCCACGTTGTCATTCTGGCTTATAGATCAGCGGGGCCTTGACAGTGATATAGAAAGAGCTAGTGTAGCAAATAAAAACAGAGAGGCATCTGCACACATGAATCATTTTTATTTAATAGGCCCATCAATTTGAATACAGCAGGTCTAAATAGAACTGCATTAGGTCAGTAATTGTATTGCCTTCATGACAAAGTGCAACTTAGAGCAGGCACATCTGAGCAGCCTTGGAAATAACCTGGCATTTTACATATTTTGTATTCCTTGCTCTGAAGCTACAAGGTAGGTGCTGGCTTAGATGTGACTGTGCATTGGGAGGTGACTGTGATCCTGTGTCTCTGTTTCCAAAAAACTGTTTGACCCATCCAGAGACAGTGTACAAGATACTTAGGATTTTTCTTTGCTAGTTGGGCTGTTTTTTATTTTTTTCTTGGCTCCCATTTCAGTCAAACTATTTAATTCTTTCAGTACTGTTTTCTAGAGTCCCCACCCTTTGCTAGGAAATAGATGCATTTTATTCATTCACTGGAGACTTCATTTTCTCTCTTATTAAAGAGGTACATGTGAGGATGAATCTACACAATGCTTCATTATATAGCAATTCTCCAGCAAAGTCTGCTAACAAAATGCCATAAACTGGGTGCTTATTGACCACAAAAATGTATTTTTCACAGTTCTAGAGGCTGAAAGTTTGAGATCAGGAAGCCAGCATGGTCAGGTTCTGGTGAGGGCCCTTTTCCAGGTTTGCAGATTGATGACGTCTCTCATTGTATCCTTCCATGGTGGGAAAGGTGAGGGGAACAGATCTCTGGCCTCTTTTTATAAGGACATTAATCCCATATGTGAGAGCTGTACCCTTATGATGTGATTACCTCCCAAAGGCTGCACCTCCAAATATAATCACATTGGTGATTAGATTTGAACATTTGCATCTTGGGGAGACATAAACGTTCACAACAAGTACATATTTAGGCACCTGCCTCTGCTTTGAGCCTTTGTCTCTTCATCTGGTGTAAAATTTACCTTATGGGTTTGTTATGATAATTAAGGAAAGTAACCACAATTGAAAAGTACTTTAGAACTTGTAAAATGCCATATAGTTGTTCCCTGTTATAAATAGGTAATCAATAGGTCATTGTTGCCTTATACAAATATTAGTATTATTTACTTTAGAATATGTATATAAACATATGTTTGTGTGTGTGTGTGTATATATATATATACACACACACACACACACACATATATCCAAGTGGATAGTTTTTGTGTTAAGTAATTTGGAGGAGTTCATCTATTTGTTTCCCCACAATAACCCCAATAACCCTGGACAGTGTTATTTATTTTAGAATATATATATATATATATATATATATTTTTTTTTTTTTACATGTATCTCCAACTACGTAGTTTGTGTGTTAAGTAATTTGGAGGAGTTCATCCATTTGTTTCCCCACAATAACCCTGGACAGTATTATTTATTTTAGAATATATATATATATATTTTTTACATGTATCTCCAACTATGTAGTTTGTGTGTTAAGTAATTTGGAAGAGTTCACCCATTTGTTCCCCCAAATAACCCTGGACAGTGGATGCATTGGCTAGATTTGTCTTCTTGAAATATAACTCAACTTAGAAGTACTGTTTAGGGATATGGTATATCTAGAATGCATTGGAGGATACAGAGCTAAACCAATTCCTTTAACACTTGATATATAGTAGGATTAGCACATTTTCCTAAAACTCAAGACAGAGTGTTCTCGTGACATGCATGATGTGCAAGCAGCACCTTTGAGAAGGGAGAGATTCTATGGGCACTAGGAAGTCCTTGTAGAAGGAAGGGTGTTTCCTGTCTTTCAGTCCCTGTTCTTCTCCTCATTGTTTCTGGGAGAGGAGGTTTATGGAATGCTCCACAGAGGAGGGCACAGGTGAACAGGTGAGAAGTTGAGCAGGCACTGCATAGCAGCCCAGGAGCACTGCCCACGGCATGAGTGACTTAGCCAAGATCTTATTGCTTGTTAGGAATGGAACAAGGTTTTTCTGAGCTACCAGCCCAACTCAATGAACAGAAATATTCATATGGTGAGGTCTCATTAGCTGTGATTTTAAGCTTTGGAAATTGGAAGGCCGCTTGGGGCCATTAGTCTCCTTGAGCAGGAAAAACACCTCACAGGGCTGCAGGTAAAGGACAGTATTGGAGTTCATGGGTTCCAACTGATTCTTGTTTTGCAGAGAGCAGCAGCCTGCATTCAGCCTGTGTCCATGACAGCACCGTGCACAGCCGGGTCTTTCAGATCTTATACCGGAATGAAGAGGTGCCCATAAATGATGCTGTGGTCTTCCGAGTTCATTTGCTCTTAGGTGGTGAAAGGGTAAGTCATGAATCTACCACCAGCCACAAGTGGCTGTTCCCTCTCATGGCTGTTCTCTCTCATTGCTAGGTAAATGGTGAAAGAAGAAGGTATGGATTTACTCTGAAATCTGACAGAGATTAGTGCTTTTAGTGCACTCATGCACTTATTTATGTATTTGCTGTTTTACTCATTTTTTTAATTCATATATTTGCTTGTTCCATGTAGTCTCAAGTGCAGACAGTCTCCATTGACTCATTTACTGGGCCTCTTCTTCCGTCCTCATTTGCCCATTTGTGCATCTGTTCAGGCCCTCTGTCAATGAGTCAATCAGCAGGTGGTTTTGAGTAACTGTTTTTTTGCAGGGCTCAATGTGGGACCCTTGGATAAGGGACAGAACCGGAGAAGGCAGCAGGAACTCTACCTTGAAAGGGTTGATAAGTTAGCAGGAAAACAGATATATAAGCAAACACCTTGGTAGGTGATGTGAGCAATGATCTCTGTGGAGATGACAAAGCTGGTGTTCATCAAGGCTTGCACAAGAGCTGGCTTCAGATGCACATGCTGAATTCACCAGAGAAAGAAAGAGGAAGGGCATCGAATGAAGGGGAAACAGCATCACTGCAAGCCCAGAGGCCTTGGGGAGCTCGCTTTATTAGTTGGGAACTTGATTGAAAATTTCCTGTTCATCAGAGTAACACATTTCAAAGGAATATCTGAAGCTCAAACTTTTGATCTGCCTCCCCTAGCCTCACTGAAGTGTACCTGTTGCCACATTTGAGCTGACTTTTTCCTGCTAGAATATATTGAGAATTATTTGAAAGAGTATTCCTGTTTTAGGAAGGTCTAATTAGAGCCCCCACTACTTGCATTCCTCATGTAGTGTGCATAACAGCTCCTATTGGGCATCTGTTATCTTTCTCCTCTCAGGCTTCTTGGCTTTTTGTCCACATCTTTTGTTATCTAGGTAGTGACCAGGTTCCTCTCTGTGGCTAAAATTGAAAAGCGTCACTCATTCTTTATTCATTAACCCATCTATCCTTTCAAAAATTTATTGAGCACTCACTAAGCACCTACTATGTGCTGAAGGTAAAATAGTGAACATGAAATATCCCTGGCATTTTGGACTTATATTCTAATATTAGATCAATATATCACAATGTAATTAAATAAACCAATCATGCATATTCTATTACTGAGCCTTCTCACTGCTACATACTCAGCTCCCTAGTCTCTGAGACACACTCATGAGGGAGATAAGAGTATAGGAGTTTCCACCCTCACTGGAGGCCCCGTGAAGCTACAACTGTACCCAAAGTAGAAGATACCTCATGATGGTCCTGCTGTGCAAGACTGGCTGTTGCCTCATGACAGATACTCAGATATTGAGAATGTCAAGAACTCAGCACAACTTTCAACACAACCTTCACCCAAGGTGATTATTCCCTGGAGGACAAGTGACAGACAGGAGAGTCTCCCAGAGAAGCCAGTGCAGAATTGTGGAGACCCAACTGTAGAGGAAGATTCAGGCATGCCATGAGCTCAGGGAGATGTCAGTTCTGGAGGAGAGCACAGTAAGGACAAAGAGCCTGAGGTGGGAATGACGTTGGGGTGTTTCAGGAAAAGCACTAAGGCTGAGGTGACTTGCACAGACAGAGAGGGCAAAGGAGCAGGAGACGAAGATGGAGCAGGGAGGCCCAGCATTGTGGGCCATGATAGGGAAATTAGGGCTTATTCTTGGGCAATAGAAATCCACTGATTTTGTTAGAATGGTGCAATGGCACAATTTTTATTTTAGAATTTTGTCATCCCTCTCCCAGTCTGCAAGCTCCACAGGACTGGATCTCTCTTTGTATCCTGAGTGCCCCAGTAGCCATAGGACTACACTTGTGGATACCTGACATGGAGTGGACGACTTAGTTGTTGAATGAATGAATTTAACTTATAATCTCTTCTTTTTAGGCCCTTTGCACACTATTCTTTCCAAACAGAGATAAGCATCCACCATGCGCCCTGTTTGATGGCCCTTGGCTCCCTGTATCGTGCCTAGACCACAGTTGCCTGCTTCAGTACCTCAAGGCACACCTCACTCACTGGAGCCTTCAGTTAACCTGACCCTGTCTCCCTTATGCCATCACAGTGACTGCAAATACTTGATCTGTAATCAAAATTTAAAAGAACAAATGAAGCTCCTATTAGCCATGCTGGCTAGCTTTTGACTACTTGACCATTTCCCCTCTCTGCTCTCCCACCTGCTATGTGCCCCCAGAGACTGGCTGCAAGAACTGCTCAGTCATGTCTTTACCTTTTAGTTTCCGTTGAGTTCAGCCTATGAGAGCTTCTGCAGGTGACTACGAGGAGAATGGGCCCAGAGTGTTCATTCCCCAGGCTCCTTCCCTGCAGGGTCCTGAAGGGTTGGCTGTGTCCAGTGGTGTGCTGGAGTCTGCTTATATCAGCTTTTGATAGCCACGCGTACACACTTTTTTCCAACTCCTTATTTAGCGACTTCACATTCATAGCTCGAAGTCAATTGTGATGAAAACATTTACACAGGAGAAACTGCCAATGCTACAAATCAGTGTTTTTTTATTTTTCTTCAGAGAGCCAGTTGTTAAACCTTTACCAGCATACCACTTGCTCTGTCCTTCTTCCAAAGGCCCCAGCTCCAGGCAGGGAGACACACTCCGTGTAGCTTTCTCTCCAGTTCTGATAGCCACTGTCTCTGCTTGAATCTTCATGCCTAGGGTGATAAGGAGGTCCTGAGGTTACTAATCTTGAGGAACTGAGCCATTGTTAGTTGCTTTTTTTTTTTTTTTTTTTGAGACAGAGTCTCGCACTGTCGCTCAGGTGGAGTGCAGTGGCGTGATCTCGGCTCACTGCAACCTCTGCCTCCAGGGTTCAAGTGATTCTCCTGTCTCAGCCTCCTGAGTAGCTGGGATTACAGCTTCCAGGGTTCAAGTGATTCTCCTGTCTCAGCCTCCTGAGTAGCTGGGATTACAGCTGCCCACCACCACGCCTGGCTTTTTTTTGTAGTTTTAGTAGAGACAGGGTTTCACTATGTTGGCCAGGCTGGTCTTAAACTCCTGACCTTGTGATCCACCTGCCTGAGCCTCCCAAAGTGCTGGGATTACAGGGGTGAGCCACTGCACCCAGCTGTTAGTTGCTTTTTCTAAATCTTCCACACACTTTGTATATCATCCCTTTAATAAACTGTACCTAGAGTCCTCATTTTGAGTGTATCCTCTAATTCCTTCCTGGACTCAAGTTGATACCTTTAGTTTAGGAAACAAGACCATTAGGTTGCCTAGAGTGGTCATAAACTCCCAGTTAAACAGACTGCAAGCTCAAGGTCCACTTCCCCAAACTCCAGTAAGAAATCAGTGCTCCATTTTTTCCCATGGGCCTTTGCCCTTTGGGACATTGATCTCAAAGAGCTACCCTGGCAGAATGCTTATGACAAACCAATGATGGAGGCTGGGTTTGGGTATTATTCAGGTATCCTGGCCATTGCTCCATTTAATTCCGTCAGAGAATTGTTCTTGTCTCTGACAATTTAAAGCCTTCAAGTTTGACCTTCCCAACCCTCAACCTTAACTCATGTGAGGTTGTAGCCAACCTTAGTTCTCAAGTTGAATGGGGAGTCTGTTTCATATTACATGTTGTTTTCTTCTTCCTATAAAATTTCTTATCTCTGTAAGCTAATAATTTGTTATTGTGTTGGGGGTAATCCATATGGCAGCAAACAATGTCACAGCTAATTGCTATATACAAATCAGGGATAATAAAAGTTAATTGGATATGTCTGTAAACACTGTACATTTGGAATGGATGCATTTCCGGTTAGTATCAGTCTGCTTATGACAACCAAAACACTGCTTATAGCCAGTCGGCCAGAAATTATGTTCATGGATACACATAGACATGATTGTGAACCACAGACATTTATGAAATGCCTATTCGTCAAACAAGTGATTCCACCCGCTATCAGAAATTCAGACATGAGGAAGATTCAGTTATGCACTGAGGTCACAGATAAGTGCAAGAGATGACCATGGACAGAAGTAATCACAAGTTAAGGTGTAGGAAGAGATGTTATAATAACAGTTGCAAAGAGTGAGTCTGGAGGTAGTGTGTATATTTTATTTATATACTCTGTGTAATCCCACAGAAGATTTGGGAAGGCTTACAAAATGCATAGAATAGTAAAAAGAAAAGCTAGCAATGGAATGAGGCAGAGTGGAGGAGAAACACATACAGGAAAATAAAGGCTGGGGTAAATGTAGGGGACCAAAATGCGCAAACACCCTCTGGATATTTGCTAATGGTGATCCATACATTTAGTGCTAAGCTCCTAGCAGGCAGAGCAAAAAAGCAGATACAATTATTAACAGCAAAATGCTTGCCACTCTGAGGAAGAAGGGGAAAAGATTATATATTAAACACATTTTATGCGCAAGATTGCATTTTCATAGGCTTAAAAAGGAAAAGCATTTTCCAAAGTGTAATTCCTTGCTGCACCGGCATCACAGTCCCCTGGCAGTACTCATACAAAATGCAGATTCATGAGCCCATGCCAGACCTAGTGATTCAGACAGAGGTGGGGTTTTTTTTCTTTTTCTTTTTTTTTTTTGTTTGCTGGAAGCAGAGAGGGGCCTGAGTTGATTCAGAGTTTGGATAAGTAGAAAAATGGACAAGATTTCCACAGTAACCAGTTAAGAGCTCCTGAGACAGAAGACGGCAAGGCCCATAAAAAGCAGTAAAGCAGAAGACAGATTTGGGGGAGAAAGCATTGTTGCTAATGGGCTGGAAACTGGCAGGGACACAAAGCTAGAAAGGAAGGTTGAGGACACAGCATGGAGAGCCATAGAGACTCTGCCGAAGGTCATGTTTCTCTTTTTTTAAAGGTAGGAGTCTCCTTCAGGACAGAAGGAGGAGACCTGGCATTTAGAAAGGTCAGTCTGGCAATAATATAGAAAATGGGGCCCAGGAGACCAAGGGCGTACAGGCAGTTGCTGCTATAGTGCATGGTGTCTTGGTGAGCATCATGGCAGAGGTCGTAACTGTGTGAATGGAAACTGTGTGAGTTGAAAGGGTGAGCTGCATGGCCGCCAAGTGCAGCCCTTAGGACTGGGTTCAGGTTGAGCATAGGAGATGGCAGGCATCATGTAGAAAGGAATGATAAATGGAAGTTGACTCTAAGATTTGGGCATGAAATAGGCTTGGAGTTACTGATAGTCCAGGGTAGTTGGGAGAAGAAAAGCTTCTACTGGGGAGTGAAAGGAGTTGAGGATGAGTTATAAGAACAATCACAAGGATCTTAGCCCTAACAGCGGAGGCAGCGCTCCTTTCACGGGGACACTAGCTGCAGGGGGTCTGTTCCTGCAGACCCCTGATTCCGCGATGGATGAATAAACATACACTGACACACAGATATTCTGCTTTGCCAGTTCAGCTGAGGGTCTGAGCTGCTTAAAGGCTCCAAGCTGAGTTCTGTAAACAGTTGCGACTGGGCCCGTATGGGTTAGTGAGGCTCTTATTTATTCAGTAAGACTAATTAACAAAAGTTGTGAGTAAACACCACTAGAGGGTAAAGATTAAAGGCCCGGTTCTCAGGCCTAAAGTAAACACCATTTGCGGGTAATAAACTTCTGCTGACCACCAAGTAGGAGGCAGTAAAGTGTGCCTGGTAGGACAAAGGTTAGTCTTAAGCCCATATAAGTAAACAGGATAGGAAGATTAACTTCCCACATTCTTCTGTACTTGTACCCTAATCTTTCTGGCTCCTGCAAAGAGACCCTGGCTGCCTTCAGCCAAGCAATCTGAAGCTGTGCAAACTCTCAGGCCTTCCAAGAGAGTTTTTGACTATTACTATAACTATCTTTAATATTTTTCCCACCAGCCTGATTGAACCCCAACAAACAGCATCTTATACCTACAAGGTATGTGCTGTATGGCAGGCGCTGTGCTGATTTCTTTGTCTGGAATATTTCATTGAATTATTGCAACAACATGAGAGGTGTTTTACTACTCCTGTTTTACAGATGAGGATACAGTGACTTAGAGAAGGCATTTATCTAAAGTCATACCACCTGGAAGTTGTAGAGCCAGGGTTTGAACCTGGGCCCTCTGATCATAAAGTCTGTGTTTGTGACCAGCATGCAGGACCACTATGTGAAGTTGGTAGAAGAATGGGTCCTTCATGTGGCCGGGCCCCCTATGGTTGAAAATGACAGCAATAATAATAGCTAACCTTTGTTGAGAATTGTCAGTTCAATTGTAAACAAAGCCCTTTGTGTATATTTTTAAATTTTAATTCACACAATAACAATGCTTTGTGAGTAAATGTAATTATTTTACTCTCATTTTACAGATGAGAAAACAACAGGGAGGTTGACTGACCCCAGGTCTCATAGATACGAAATGATAGAACTAAGAGTTGTACACATGTATCTTGATTTCAGAAGCTGCTCTCTTAGCTATCAGGCTGCAACAAATCCCAAGATAGTAGTTAAGAATGGAGGAGAAAACAAGAGAGTCACCATTATGAGTTGAAACCAAGCAGTGAGAGAATGTCCAACCTAGAACACACACATGACCATGGGAGAAAGCTGAAGAAATGGAGCCCTTGACAGCATCTGGGATGTGGGACTCTCACTAACTGCGTTTGAGAAAATGCCTTTAGCACAGGGAGCCTCAGTTTCCTCATGGGTAAATGCAGGACAGTCTTTCCTAACTCATAGTTTTATCCATGTTAAATAAAATAGTATACGTATAATGATAGTTTATTGCCTGCCAAATAATAACTCTTCTGTAAATATTAGCTTCTTATATTATTTCTACTAGTTTGCAGAACTGCTTCCTGTTCGTGAGAAAATGACCCTTGAATGGAGATGATGACTCTAATTGAGATAATGCAGAATAAAGGAAAATCATATGTTTGTATGGGGTGTGTGTGTGTGTGTGTGTGTGTGTGTGTGTGTCTTTTTGAAGGAGGGGGTGGGTAGGAAGTCAACAGCCAACCATGGAATAAATGTTTAGAAAAGGCAGTGACTTCATTCTGGAATATCTTGCAAATAAGATTCATTGAAGCATTGTAAAGTTATAGCCCAGCTCAATTTAGCCACAGCTTATCCAGGCCAATGATTTCTCTCCCAGTTCCTAAGGAAACTGCAGCAAGTTTAAAACTGGAGTTTACATTGAATTTTCATTACCCAGGCAAATGCGTGCTCAGAAGGTAGTTGGGAAGCTTACGTTGCCAGTCTCCCTCCCTTCCTGGTGACAAGAGGCTGCAATGCGTTCCTTGTGTGTTTGAAGCTAGGTTCATGATTATGCAAAACAAAGCTAGGAAAGGAAGTTATTTATAGCACTTGGATTCAGCAAAATGTTAACTTTTAAATGCTTTTTTTTAAATAACATTTTAAACCCTGGAGACCTAAAGATAAATTCCATCTGTATATCTCTCCATGAATTATGCTTAACCAGGAAGACATTTCCAAAGAGATCTTTGGGTAAGAGATTTCCATCTCAGGAAGATGAGGAGATTCTTGCAAAGAAATGAAAACCAAAAAAGGTGGGGATTGGGGAAAAAGCTTTATTTATGCCTCAAAGATGCATTGATACTTTCTATGTAGCAGAAACTATTTCTGGAGCAAGGGATCAAGAATGAATTAAAACTAGTCTCTCTCTTAATCATACAAGGATTACTGGAAACACTACACAAGAAAATAGCCAGGGGCTTTTAGATGCAGGTCAGACGGGTGTCAGTGAATACTGTGAATGGTGGTAGAAGGGACAGCAATTACCTGATCTGAAACAAATCAGGTGATTGAACCCTGAAACAGAGTTTCTAAATGAGTTTCTAAATGCCAGCCCAGCACTCCCAAGTCCAGGGTTTTGTTTTGCTTTGTTTTTTGTTTTTTTGCAGAAGCAAAAAACCCATAATACAAATATGAAATTGCCTGAATTGTAAATGTTTGCAATTTGTTGAAAACATTTTCAAAAATACTATGGAGACTAAACAAGACACATCAGCAGACAATACTTGGCTCACAAGCTTCCAGGTGATAACACCGCCTCCAAAATTGTAATAGGCACCGTTAAATACCAAGATAAACAAGACACGGCATTTTGTGGTTACAGACAAAAAGGGCTGCATCCTGCCTGTGAATGAGGAGGAGGAGGCCAAGTCCTATCACAGGTGTGTAGAACTGACCCTGGGCTGACCTCTGAGTAGAGGTGGTGGCGAGATCTGGTATTTAGCAAGTAACACCCCCTTGAGTTGGGAGTGATGTTAAAAAAGGAGAACTAGGGGTACCATCTTCCAGGTATATAGGAGAAACTGGCAGGAAGAATAAAGATTCCTGTGTTTAAAAAGTATGTTTTCTTTTTTTATTTTTTCTTAAAGCAAAGGATAAATGCGGCCATGGGTAGGACATAAAATGCCAGTGTCTTAAAGTGAAAATGGTTAAATACAATGGATTTCAAGACAAAAATGAAGAAGCTGCTTTCTTATGAAGCTGAGCCACCTGAAGAAGTGACTGCTTTCCCAAACATGAGCTTCCTCCTCTGGACCCGTGGGCCATGATGCAGGCATGCCTGAGAGGATGCCTGAGGGTTAGAGATGACATTGTTCTGACTTAATCCCATTGCTAGCCAAGTGGAATTTCACTGCGAGTTCACTGCTCCATCCTTCCCAAAGGAGGTGCTACAGAACACTTGACTCTTGCCCCAAATGGGATTCTAGATCAAATCCAAATGAGACTCTCGAAAGTCCTGCAATAAAGAAACTTGTTTAGCATTTTTTTTTTTTTTTGCAAATTGACTTTCCCCAAACTGAGTATGTAAATCCCTTTTTTTTTTTCTTTTTGTGTAATACTCCCAGATATCCTGTTCACCCAGAACTCCATGAAACATACATGGAAGTTCTGCTTTCAGCATAAATGGCATTGATTTTTGGACAAGATGGTGTTTCTCTACTTTGGGAAGTAGACAAGCTAAGTATTTCATTTGGACAATATTTGACTCCTGAAATCCCTTGGACTTTGTTTCTTTTGCAGATGGAAGATGCGCTGAGTGAAGTAGATTTTCAACTCAAGGTGGATCTGCACTTTACGGACAGTGAACAGCAGTGAGTGTCATGGAAATGGAAATTATTGAATTGTAGTAGCACGATGCTCTCCTCCCCGCTTCCCTACTCCTGGGATAGTCTCATAGGCCATGAATCTCAGAACGTCTCTCAGATAAGCATCTCCTGATAAGCTGCAATGTCCCTTACTCAGGGGTGTGGGCTAAGAAAGTTTGTGTGGTCATTTCAAACCACATACATTTTAGGCAGGCAGCTCAAATGCACACACAGAAATCTCATAACTTGTTGGCTTTATTAACTGGCCCTTTCTCATGTCTGACACCTTCACACATCTTACAATGTGATAATAATTGGGGGTTTTAGATTAACGACCCTATGAAGCTACAAATGGCAAATCCCCTTCTGAATCAAAGGAGATTCTGTCAGGATTCAACGTCTTTGTGTGACATATCTGCTGTTATGTTTCAACTCTGAAACTTGAAACTCCATTTATCTGTAACCCGCTCATTAAATAAGCAGGAGGCAACTTTCTTCTTTCTCATAATTGCTTTCTTTCGGCTTGTTCTGTGGCCTCTTCTTCCTACCCTGGGCTGAGCTGTCAGGCCACTAAGCTGGGATATTTCCGCTAATGAGTAAGTCATCCTCTTTTTAGGTGTGAAAAGTCCAGTGAAGTATCATATCAGAACTCTAAACCTCATCCATTGTATAACTTCTTTCTGTTGCCTCCTTTCTCTACCTCACCTCCAGATCCAGGCTTTCCTAGCGTAGAAAACTCCCAGTGTAGGAACAGGGCATGGTGGGGGACTTCACATCCCCCATTTCTTCCCCACTGCAGTTTGCAGGCTTTGCAGGGTCAGGCACAGTAAGGAGGGAAACAGCGGAGAGAAGGGCAGGGGTTCATTTGTGAGTAGTAGGATTGTCATATGGTAAACCCTGAATTGGCCTTAGGATGTTCTTGTGAATTCCTTAGAGATAGACTCCTTAGGTACCCCTGACCAGAAGACTCTCACCCAGCCCCATCCCTGCAGTTATCTGATGTAGTAATGCCTCACAAGAGGCTGGGTGACTCATTCCTTGCAAGAAGCTCTTTGGGGGTGGATACTTTTCCAAAGCACACTCATGTGGCCCATGGGAAATGGACACAGACACTTTAACCCCCATTCCACGTAACCTCCTCTGCCAAGCCTGCTCACTTTTGTTTAGACCAATCCAGCCACCCTCAGCTTCTCTCCTGATGGCCTTTGCAGAATGAGTTGAGCACTAGGAACTGCATTCCCACTGTTCTAGGGGATACAGGGCAATCTCCCTTGAAGACCTCCTCTCTTGGCTTAGGCAAAGGGAGGAAAACTCCTTCTTTCTCCGTTCTGTTAGCAGAATCTCAGCACACGCTGACCACTATCTGCAAATTAAAGTCAATTCTCACTTCTGGTCTCTGTAACCTCTCCAACAAATGTTTCCCCTTTTCCTTTGGAGAATGGGGAATTGGGAAGCTGATGAGTCAATGCTGGCAGAACTGTTTCCCTCATCCCTTCAAAGTTCAGATTTGGCCAAGGGCAGTGGCTCATGCCTGTTATCCCAGCACTTTGGGAGGCTGAGGTGGAAAGATTGCATGAGCCCAGGACTTCAAGTTTACAGTGTGTCATGATTGTGCCACTGCACTCCAGCCTGGGTGACAGAGCAAGACCCTGTCTCAAAAACAAAACAAAACAAAACAAAACAGAAAACAATAAAAAAAGGTCAGATTTCTTCACAGAACTTCTTCCCCTTCTCAAGGACTGTCCTATCTCTGAAATCTGTCTAATCCGTTATGGGACTGTTCATAACATGAGGAGTTGAGTCCAAGGGGATTTGAACCAAAGATGAATGTCTACTGAAGTGTTAGGGACTTGATCGTGTATGGGAATTGAGAAGGGGCATCCACTGATGTGTAGCCAGTCTTGCCTGGTCCCTGGGCTGGCAGGAGTATCTGTCCATGGCCGTGCCACAGTCTGGGTTCAACTTCACAGATGCCTCATTTTTGTCTCTATCTGGACCCCAGCCCTCTGGCCACCTGCCTTTCTCATCACATCTGCTTTTTCCTTAGCAGGATAGTGTAGAGACTTGAGGAATCCTACCTGCTTCACCCCATCGCCAGGACTTGTTCTAGCACCATACTGAACTCAGACGCCCTAAAAGAGGCTGGCCTTCTTCCCGAGCTATAAACTCAGAAGTAAAGCCCTGACGTTATGGTGCTCCTATTTTCCTCTAACCATCTGGGGTTTCTGTCATTAACACCTCCAGTAACCCACCCCGCCCTATCACTCTGTTCCACTTCCTTCCCAGACATTCATTCATAGCTTTATGGTAGACATTTCCAATTCATCACAGAACCTTGCGGCTAACTCCAAGCTCAGCCTAGAAATCAGCCTCCCACCTGCCCTCCATGTGATAAGCCATAGTGTACACAGTAAATGAGACTTTCTGTTCAGCAAAACAGTAGTTAATGGAGAGCCTGTATACCGGTGACTGGTTTAATCAAAGTGTATAAAACTCAGCAACCTCGACTCTGCACTCATTAACTATAAAACATTGGGGAAGTCTCACACTTTCATAAATCTCAGTAGCTTCAGTTATAAAATAGATATCATTATAGAATACATACCTCATAGGTCTGTTTGATGATTAAGAGAGACAATATATGTAGCAGGCCAAGTACGCAATCTGATGGATAAATGTCTTCTTGCTCTTTATGGCTTCTTAGCTGGAAGTGGGGCCAGGCTTCAATGTGTTGCTTCCTCTCCCAAGCACTTAATAATAATAATAATAAGGGTTTTCATGAACTATAAGATTAGCTGAGATGAACAGGAAGTCAGAGGCTGGGGAAGATTGAAAATGCCACATTTTAAAATTTTCATAAATTGAGTTTAAGGATGACAAGGCATCCGTGGCATATCCTGGGGTGGACATTCGGCTCTGAAACATGACCAAGTCATCTGGCTTCTTTAGCATCATATAGGCCTGGGTGGGAACAAAATGGAGAAGCAGAGCCTCTCATATTGGGACAGAAGAGCTCCTGAAATTTGTCTTTTCTGGTGGCTCTCAATGCAGGTGGGAGGATTCTGACCCCTGGAGACATGTGGCCTTGCCCAGAGACATGTTTGGTTATCACAGCTGAGGAAGATGCTTGAAGGGAGATGTGAGCACAGTAAGGGCGGGGCTTCACTTCTGACTTTATAGATCCGAAAGAAGGCCAACCTCTTCTAGGGCCTTAGAACAAGTCCCAGGAATGGTGTGAAGCAGACAGAATTGTCACGCTTAGATATTGCCGTCTAGTGAGTGAAGGCCAGATATGCTGCTGCACGTCGTACAGTGCACAAGTTAGCAGCGCCCCCTCCCACCACAAGAAAGCATGACTCGGTCCCCAAAGCAATGTTATGAGGTGAGGAAACTGTGCTTTATTCTAATCTCATATTTGTACTTGTTCCTCTGCAAAGACCCATCAGAACCTGTTTGCACAGGGATGGGGACCTCACTCCTTCACATCTTGGCCCATTCTGCCCTGAATAGTTCTGCTGATTGGGAAATTCTTCTTTATTTCAAGGAACGATTCATCCCTGTGCATCTGCCCTCAGTAGACTTCAGTTTTATTTCTTGTGACCACCCAGACAAATCCCAAGTCTGGATGGCAGTTCAGAAAAGAAATCTTCTTGGCCAGGCACGGTGGTTCTCACCTGTAATCCCAGCACTTTGGTAGGCCAAGGCAAGAGGATTACTTTTGGTCAGGAATTCAAGACCAGCCTAGCCAACATGGTGAAACCCCATCTCTACTAAAAAATACAAAAATTAGCTGGGTGTGGGCTCAGGCTTGTAATCCCAGCTACTTGGGAGGTTGAGATGGGAGGTTTTCTTGAACCCAGGAGGCGGAGGTTGCAGTGAGCCGAGATTACACCACAGTACTCCAGCCTGGCAGCCTGGGTGACAGAGTGAGACTCCATCTCAAAAAAATAAAAAAGAAACCTTATTTATGTCATTTCCAGGTTAAATACTAGGGCTATTTCTGTGTGTGTTTTTTGTTTGTTTAATTTGTTTGCTTTATTTCCCTTATAAGAACTCAGACACTGTCCTATCAGTGCAATCAAGTTTACCACCATCATTTCAGAGCTTAGAGACCTCCCTGCACCACCACCAGGACCTAAGTTTTATCTCCATTTTGGATATATCTCTTTAAGAGCACAGGAGAGTTACCACCTCTTCATTCTTAATTCTTTACTTTTACTAATGTGGCTTAAATTCTTGTGAACATTTTTGCCATCTTTGCTACACTGATATGTATTTAACATTCTGTTGTTCAAGCCCTAGGGATATATCTGTGATTCGTAGGAACCTGAGTCTGACTGGATTCAAAGCAATATTGAGCAGTAACTCAGAAATAACTGTGAATCAGGAAGACCTGGTCCAAGATTACATTTTTGTCTTGTGGCTTTAATTAACTCTTGTTGACTTTACTTCCTTTTCTACAAAAAGAATAATGCCAATAAATACCTCCTATAATTGCCATGCAGATTAAAGGGAAAAGTACCATGTTCAGTTCATAATAAGCTCTCAATACATTGTAGCCAGAATTAAAAATAATGTAAATGTTAACACCTTGCTGAGATTCATGGGGTAGACCCTTCATCCTCTCCCCAACAGGTTTCTTTCTGGTACCAGGGGACCATTATTCATATTCAATCTATGGAGTCATCCTGAGCTCCCATAATTTAGCTGGCTCTTTCACTTCGCCTTTGTTTGCACACAAGCAACAAGGGTTTCAAGGAAGCAAAGCCCGTGGTGTTGGGTCTTCAGAGACTGCTCCCTCCATCTGGCCCTTTCTGTGCTTCATTTCCTTATCTATGGATGGAGGACAAGCATTTCCTCTCTGCTTTCCTCGTGAAAGATGCTCCTCCCAGGTTTCCCTTGTGTTCTGCTTCAGAGAAATTTGCACAGCCCAAATGACTGGTTCTCAGGATTTGAGATTAGTGCTGGGTCTTCCTGGGGCGAACATGGCCCCAGGTTTTATATAGGTAACAACCAATCTTCTTCTAATCATCAAAGATGCTGTGACAGTTGGTTTAATCTCTTACACTCAGATACGTGTCAATTACAAAATACTGGAGCAGACATTGGGGAACCCTTGATGAAACTAGTCAGATTATTTAAGCACTGTGCTTTGGGTGTCATTCATTCTTTTGTTCATTCAGTCAGTCAATTGTTCATTTTAATTTGTATTTATATTCTCCATACCTGCCAGATACTAGGCTAGGTATTGGGATTATAAAGATGCATTAATCATAGTCCCTTAAGTGGTAGGAATCTGTTCGAAAACATAGGCTCACACAGTCAGTGCAGCATTATGAGGAGAGCGCTGGACATCTGGACATCTATGGGGGAAATAAAAATCAAGTGGAAAAAGTAGGAGGCTTCAGTGTTGAAGAGTCTTGAAAAGCTAGTGTGTGCTTCCTATCCATCACTGACACATGAGCTTGATGTCCCTGACAGTGCAGCATGTCACCAGATCTGTTGTGTAGCAGCTGTGTGATATCCAGTAATACCTCTGAACCCTGGTTTTCTCATCTGCCAGTGATGGGAAAAATGATCTCTACTACGCAGAGCACTTGCAGGACTGAATAAGACGATGTATGCATGGTGCTTGGCCCATGGAGAGGCTTAATACAGATATGCTAGGATGACAGCAGGGGCAACCCACCATTTCTCACATGAGCTCACATGCTTGCCTTCTAGGTTGAGGGATGTGGCCGGGGCACCGATGGTCAGCAGCCGCACGCTTGGCCTGCACTTCCACCCCCGGAATGGTCTGCACCACCAGGTCCCGGTCATGTTCGACTATTTCCACCTGTCTGTGATCTCAGTGACCGTCCATGCTGCCCTGGTGGCTCTGCAGCAGCCCTTGATCAGGTATGAAGTTTGGAGGCAGCCCTGATATGTGGGACCTACCTTCCATTGCAGGTGTGGTGGAGGGGCAGGGAGTTCTCCAGGAGAGATCAGCACACGCAAGGGAGTTTCTCTAACGCTGCAGGTTTAAGCTTTGGTTCTCACTGAGGAGCATGGGAGAGAGTAAGGAGGAGGTCCCAAGGGGAGACTGGTGTGGGACCCGGAAGTCGAAAACCTGCAAACTATGGCTTACACCAGGAAGACTTGGAGTCTGGCTTCACATTTTTCTAACTGCGCCTTCTTTCAGAAGTCATTTAATGTTCCTGAGCCATATAATCCTCTACAACAGGGATACTAATGTGTATCCCATCTACATAAGATTTTAGTGAATCTCAAATGAAGATAGTGCCAGGCACATGATAGGGGCTTAGTTTTCTTTTTCTTCCCCAAGTAGTTATTTGTTCAAATGTAGAAGGTCCATTTATTTATTTATTTATTTATTTATTCGAGATGGAGTCTTGCTCTTGTTGCCCAGGCTGGAGTGCAATGGCACAACCTCGGCTTGCTGCAACTTCCGGTTCCCGGGGTTAAGTGATTCTCCTGCCTCAGCCTCCTGAGTAGCTGGGATTATGGGCACCTGCCACCAAGCCCAGCTAATTTTTGTAATTTTTAGTAGACCTGGGGTTTCACCATGTTGGCCAGGCTGGTCTCAAACTCTTGACCTCAGGTTGTCCACCCTCCTCAGCCTCTCAAAGTGCTGGGATTCCAGGCATGAGCCACCGTGCCCAGCCCATGCATATGGTTTGATTCTTCCCTTCTGTGAATTTTCCCAGAACATGTTCAAGATCATGTGAACCACTGAGGTTCTATGAATGTCCCAAGTGGAGGGACAGAACTGACAACATGTAGCATATTGTACTGTGCTTGCCTGTCTTCATACCTACTCCGAGCATGGCCAGATCGGTGCATGAAATAATTTCAAAACATTACATATGCGCATGGGCAAAAGTTGCATATGTGCAGTGTTTATGCATAGAATATTGTAGCATGGCATTTCCAAAAGGAATCTTTCCTAATTTCCCTTTTCTGAATGGCTTCTTTGTGCTGAGAGTTTAAGTGCAGTACAGGAGACTAGAATTTTCACTACGTTTGCTGTTCCTATCCTGAAGCCCCTGTTCTCTGCTGGGGTCAGAGAGTAGGAAATTAGTTACCCAATCTGACCCACGCCATGTGACCAGGAGCTGGTGCCCCTGGAGGTGTGATCCAGTGACCACATCTATCTGCTGGGTTCCCTTCCTGGCTCCATTATTCTTTTACTCAATGGGTATTTACTGGGGGCCTGCTGTGCTCTAGGAAAAGTGTAAGAGAATATGCAGCACATTCTACTATGGAATATAAAAATACTTTGGAATAGATCTTTCCCTCAGTGAGTTCACAGTCCAATGAAGTGGGCCCATTTGCATTTGTGAAGTTATGCTGTTGTGGTAGAGATTGGTAGAAAATGTTACAATATTCACAGTTACAGAAACAAAGGAGAGCAGACCTGACCTTGGGAAGTGACAGGAGATATAGAATCCAGAAAGCAGCAGAGAGTATTATCATCCTGTGAAGAATATTCCCAAAGGATATTCCCTAGCTCCTAACGCACTCCAAGGCTGGCAAATCACGTCCTCAATGCAGAGTTAAGGGCATGATCTGTCTGCCCTCCATGAGGTGAGGCTAGCGAGGTCAGGTCCTGCGATTAGCAGGCTGTCACTGCTGAAGATGAGGCAAGAGAAGGTGACAGACAGCCTGCGGTAGGAAAGGCAGAGCTTCCTGCAGCAGATTCTGGGGCCCTGGGATCAAATTGTTCTTTCATCGGCTGGAGTCAAGACCATCTTATCATCTAGCCCTACCACTTACTTTTTGGGGAATTCTTGGATAAGTCACCTAACTTTTCTAGCGTCTGTTTCAACATATAAGTCAATGAATGAGTCAAAGTAATTTCCATTTATTTTATTTTATTTTTATTGTTTTTTTGTTTTGTTTTGTTTTTTGAGACAGGGTCTCATTCTGTCTGTCACCCAAGCTAGAGCACAGTAATGCAAATTCAGCTCACTGCAACCTCTGCCAACTGGGCTCAAGTGATCCTCCTGCCTCAGCCCCCCAAGTAGCTGGGACTACAGGCAGGAGCCACCATGCCCAGCTAAATTTTTTAAATTTTTTGTAGAGGCAGGGTTTCACCAAGTTGGTCATACTGGTCTCAAACTCCTGAGGTCACGCAATCCACCTGCCTCGGCCTCCCAAAGTGCTAGGATTATAGGTGTGAGCCACTGCACCAAGCCAAAAATTTTTTAAAAATGAGATGTGATACTAACCCAACAGGGATGATGAGAAGGTGCAATGGGATGAGGTGTATAGTGCTGCACATGGCGAAAACATGCTTCCTTCAAGGTGGGTGGCAAAAGCTTTGGCCACTTCTAGAGAGGCTATGTCTGGAAACTCTGAGATAAATCAAGTCTGACATCATTAAAGTCTCAGAGTCCGGCAGAAACACACGTAGACCAAACTCTAATTCTGAGCAATACCTGTTAAGTGAGTGGAGTGGGAACCCAGTGTAGGGTAGGAATTAAAGGGATGGTTTTTAGTGTTAGACAGACCCATGTTGCAAATCTGAGCCCTCTGCTTGTTAACTCTGTTAGTTTGAGCATGTGAGTTTCAGTTTCAGTACATACCAGAACGCTTTTAGAAGGATTAAATGAGACAGCACATGTAAAACCCTTGGCCATTAATTCAGTTGATTGTTATTTAGCACCTCTCGTATTCCAAGCCCTCACCTAGGCCTCATGTCTAGTACATAATAAGCATTTAATAAATGGTATGTAATCGTTAGCATGGGAAAGAAGCAACTCTACTTCAGGGACATGAGAGAAATCTTTCTAGAAGAAACGGTCTTTGTGCTACACCTAGAGGACAAGAGACTGTGACAATGAAAAGTGAATTTGGGATGGTAAATTGGAGTTACAGTTTAATACAGTAATTAATGACACATTAAAGAATAGAGAATTTGTTTATTGTATAAAAAGGAGGCACTGAATGTTTTCAGCAGGAGAGTTACCCGGTAAGATCTATGTTTTGTAAAGACTCCAGCAGCTTTGAGTTGGTTAGACTGGAAGTTACATCAGATTAGAGGCCAGTTTGTTAATGCAAAGTGTTTATGCCAGCTGAAAGGGCAGAGAGCAGGTGTATTAGTCTGTTCTCACTCTGCTATGAAGAAATAATTGGCACTGGGTAATGTATAAAGGAAAGAGGTTTAACTGACCCACAGTTCCACGGTGCTGGGGAGGCCTCAGGAAACATACAATCATGGTGGAAGTGGAAGAAAACACATCCTTCTTCACATGGCAGCATCAAGGAGAAGTGCTGAGCAAAAGGGGAAAAGCCCTTTATAAAACCATCAGATCTTGTGAGCATTCACTCACTATCACAAGAACAGCATGGAGGTAACTGCCCTCATGATTCAGTTACCTCCCACCAGATCCCTCCCACCACATGTGGGGATTATGGGAATTATAACTCAAGATGAACTCTGGGTAGAGACATAGCCAAACCATATCATTTCACCCTGATCCTTTCCAAATCTCATGTCCTTACATTTCAAAACACAATCATGCCTTTCCAACAGTCCCCCAAAGTCTTAATTCATTTCAGCATTAACCCAAAAGTCCAAGTCCAAAGTCTCAACTGAGACAAGGCAAGTCCCTTCTGCCTATGAGCCTGCAAAATCAGAAGCAAGTTAGTTATTTCCTAGATACATTGAGGGTACAGGCATTGGGTAAATATACCTATTCCAAATTGGCCAAAACAAAGGGGTTACAGGTCCCATGCAAGTCCAAAATCTAATAAGGCAGTAATTAAATCTCAAAGCTCTGAAATAATCCCCTTTGACTCCATCTCTCACATCCAGGTCATGCTGATGCAAGAGGTGAGCTCCCATGGCCTTGGGTAGCAATGCCCCTTGATTTTGCAGGGTACAGTCTCCTCTACTGGTTGCTTTCATGGGCTGATGTTGAGTGTGACTTTTCCAGGCACATGGGGCAAGCTATCGGTGGATCTACTATTCTGGAGTCTGGAGGATGGTGGCCCTCTTGTCATAGCTCCATTAGGCCATGTCCCAGTGGGGACTCGTGTGGGGGTTCTGACCCTGTATTTCCCTTCTGCCCTGCCCTAGCAGAGATTCTCCATGAGGGATCTGCTCCTGCAGCAAACTTCTGCCTGGACATCCAGGAGTTTCCATATAGCCTCTGAAATCTAGGCGGAGATTCCCAAACCTCAATTCTTGACTTCTGTGCACCTGCAGGCTCAACATCAAGTGAAGGCTGCCAAGGCTTGAGGCTTGCACCCTCTGAAGTCATGGGCTGAGCTATACCTTGGCCCCTTTTAGTCACAACTGGAGCAGCTGGGACACAGGGCACCAAGTCCCTAGGCTGCGCACAGCAAGGGGGCCCTGGTCCCAGGTCCTCAAAACCATTTTTTCTTCCTGGGCCTCTGGGCCTGTGATGGGAGGGGTTTCCAAGAAGGTCTCTGGAATGCCCTAGAGACATTTTCCCCATTTCCTTGGTGATTAACATTGGGTCCCTCATTACTTATGCAAATTTCTGCAGCAGGCTTGAGTCTCTTTCTAGAAAATGGGTTTTTCTTTTCTATTGCATCATCAGGCTGCAAATTTTCCAAACTTTTATGCTCTGTTCCCTCTTGAAAGCTTTACCACTCAGAAATTTCTTCTGCCAGATACCCTAAATCATCTCTCTCAAGTTCAAAATTCCAGAGATCTCTAGGGAAGGGGGAACATGTTGCCAGTCTCTTTATTAAAACATAGCAAGAATCACCTTTGTTCCAGTTCCCAAGAAGTTCCTAATCTCCATCTGAGACACCTCACCCTGGACTTCATTGCCCTTATCACTATCAGCAATTTGGTTAAGGCCATTCAACATGTCTCTAGGAAGTTCCAAACTTTACCACATCTTCCTGTCTTCTGAGCCCTCCAAGCCTCTAGGAAATTCCAAACTTTCCCACATTTTCCTGTCTTCTTCTGAGCCCTTCAAATTGTTCCAACTTCTGCCTGTTACTCAGTTCTAAAGTCACTGCCACATTTTGTGGTACCAGTTTACTGTATTATTCCATTCCTATACTGCTATAAAGAAATACCCAAGGCTGGGTAATTAATAAAGAAAAGAGGTTTAATTGACTCACAGTTCTGCTGGGCTGAGGTAGCCTCAGGAAGCTTACAATCATGGTGGAAGGGGAAGTAAACATGTCCTTCTTCGCATGACAGCAGCAAGGAGAAGTGCTGAGCAAATAGGGGAAAGCCCTTTATAAAACCATCAGATCTCATGAGAAGGAACTCACTGCAGGAGAACAGCATGGAGGTAACCACCCCCATGATTCAATTACCTCTCACTGGGTCCCTCGCACAACATGTGGGTATTACAAAAACTACAATTCAAGATGAGATTTGGGTGAGGACACAGTGAAACCATATCAGCAGGCTTCACTCCCATTTTATAATGGGAGCCCTGATACTATCCTAATGAGAATTTGGGAATCAGAAATCTTAGTAAAATGTTTAACCTTCCGACCGAAAGAGTCTTGCAAGTTTGTCTGCAGAAACCTTGGTGGAGTGAAACACAGATATAAATTCACAGTAAGGGCTAGATTTCTCCAGGGATGGGGGTAAAAATAGAACTGTCTTCTGTCTTCTGTCTTCTGGATTTTGCAGGAAGAACTTCTATCAGTTGGATCACAGCAACTGGAAACAAAGGGAACCCTTTAAGCTTGTGGGAAATGCCTGTCAAATAGGGCAAGCACTAACTTTTCCAGAAAAGTGGTTAAATCCAACTATCATGAAACAGGTGTGAAATTAACATTTAACCTCCAAAACCCCTTAGCCTTCACTAAAACAAGCTGAAGCAAAGAATCCATTTTTAACTCCCAAATGGATATGATTGGATTTCACTTGAGGGATTCAGATCCACCAGAAAAGCTAATTAAGTAAATAACAAGTTATTTTAGTTGTTAATCTGCAGTCTGTCCAGTGAATGTGCCAGGAATATCCAAATACACACTTTCTACTTTTCTTGTGGATGTTCCTTTTATCCATCTTCCAGGTAAATTATAGAGTTTCTTCAACTTGCAATTCAAAAGAAATCAGAACAGTGATTCTATTTTATTATATGTGTGGTATTAACAACAGATAGCTCCTAGCATTGATGGAAGCCTTGCTGCTTGCCAGACACTGTACTGGAAGCTGCCCCTAGCTTATCCCATGGGACCCCCCACAACCACCAAATGGCTAGTGTGCTGGTATCAAACCTTCTGACAGGAAGAAGCAGAGTAGGGAGATTAAAAACTTGCCTTAGGTCACACAGCCTTTAGGGAGTTGAACCCTGAGAGGCTGGCTTTATTGCCCCCTCGCTGATTGGCCATACTCTGAGGATCATCTCTAGACAAATTCTTTTTATTATTATTATTATTATACTTTAAGTTCTAGGGTACATGTGCATAACGTGCAGGTTTGTTACATATGTATACTTGTGCCATGTTGGTGTGCTGCACCCATCAACTTGTCATTTACATCAGGTATAACTCCAATGCAATCCCTCCCCCCTCCCCACTCCCCATGATAGGCGCCAGTGTGTGATGTTCCCCTTCCCAAGTCCAAGTGATCTCATTGTTCAGTTCCCACCTATGAGTGAGAACATGAGGTGTTTGGTTTTCTGTTCTTGTGATAGTTTGCTGAGAATGATGGTTTCCAGCTGCATCCATGTCCGTACAAGGACACAAACTCATCCTTTTTTATGGCTGCATAGTATTCCATGGTGTATATGTGCCACATTTTCTTAATCCAGTCTGTTACTGATGGACATTTGGGTTGATTCCAAGTCTTTGCTATTGTGAATAGTGCCGCAGTGAACATACGTGTGCATGTGTCTTTATAGCAGCATGATTTATAATCCTTTGGGTATATACCCAGTAATGGGATGGCTGGGTCATATGGTACTTCTAGTTCTAGATCCTTGAGGAATTGCCATACTGTTTTCCATAATGGTTGAACTAGTTTACAATCCCACCAACAGTGTACAAGTGTTCCTATTTCTCCACATCCTCTCCAGCACCTGTTGTTTCCTGACTTTTTAATGATTGCCATTCTAACTGGTGTGAGATGGTATCTCATTGTGGTTTCGATTTACATTTCTCTGATGGCCAGTGATGTCGAGCATTTTTTCATGTATCTGTTAGCTGTATGCATGTCTTCTTTTGAGAAATGTCTGTTCATATCCTTTGCCCACTTTTTGATGGAGTTGTTTGTTTTTTTCTTGTAAATTTGTTTGAGTTCTTTGTAGGTTCTGGATATTAGCCCTTTGTCAGATGAGTAGATTACAAAAATTTTCTCGCATTCTGTAGGTTGCCTGTTCACTCTGATGGTAGTTTCTTTTGCTGTGCAGAAGCTCTTTAGTTTAATTAGATCCCATTTGTCAATTTTGGCTTTTGTTGCCATTTTTAGACATGAAGTCCTTGCCCATGCCTATGTCCTGAATGGTATTCTTTTTACCTCGTTTGCCTCGGAAATTGCTCTCCTGCACACACTGGCCTGAATTTTCCTGCATTGTATTACATCTGTTGGTTTCCTTTGCTCTCTAGACAAATGTCTTAAGGTGAAGGCTGTGCCTTAATCATCTTATCATCCTAGCACCTAACCCACTGCCTGGCGTATGGTATGGGCCTAATACATATTTGAATAAATGAATTAAACAGAAGTATAATTCTAAATTTATTTTCCTGTCAATATTTTAAGCAGGAACCTGGATCTCTTGGATTAAGCCCTTCCACAAATGTTTCTTAAGCACCCATAGTGAAGATGGTGAAGATGTCACCTGGGGCTATTTATTGTCAAGACTCTCTTTGCCATCAGAGACTTTAAATTTTACTGAGGAACTAAAACATGCCTAGAATATAGTATCCACAATATGACAAAACATCCATTGGAAAAGAAATTGAATAGAAGAGATCTAAAAAGAATACGAGAATGAGTAAACATTACTGGTATATCAATTGATGAAAACCAAACAGGTAAAGATAGAGGAAGATGATCATAAACTCAAATATGATAAATTTGAATAATCACACATCTTTTCCTAATCTCCTTTGATCCTGACATTGATCATTGCCATCACATGTCCGTTAATCTTTGGATTGCAGAGCTGGGCAGGAACTGCGCATTTGTGAGCTGAGTAGGTTATAGTCTTCCCAATTAGCATTGACACAGCGAGTGCTTTCTGGCTTATGACAGTCTTTGACATCGTATTAGACTCTTGTGTGGATCATGGAGGAAGATGGTTTATGCTTTTCCACAGAAGAAAAGAGGTCCAGGGAGTGGGACGAGGGGGTGGAAGGAGCAGTGACAGGACTCAGACCTTGTCCGGTCAGAGTTGCCCCTGAAACTTCCGGAGCCCATGCCACCTTCCCCTCTAGTGATATAAGCTTGGAGCTCTGCTTCAGTGTTTCTTACAGGTATGTTGTTTGCATTCAGGGTGGGCATTTACATGCACACGTTGTAGGATGTGTATCATCTTTGACTTTCAAGCTTACATGCCAGTTATACCCTCTTTATTATCAAGACATCCAGAAATGTCACATGCAAACACCTCCTGGGGGTGAACTACTCCTAAATGACTTATCCCAAAGGCTTCACAGGAACACCCCTCAAAGGGGCTGAGTTAATGGCACCATCACTTTCTTTACCTCCTTTTTCACCCTTTCAATTATCTTTCATTTAGTTTTACTCGTCCAGGAAGAGGCTCCTGGCTTGGTAAAGGTGGCCCAGACACCGGACAAGAACAGTCTATCATTTCTCTGGAAAACTTGGTCTTTGGAGCTGGATACTGCAAGCCGACTTCCTCAGAGGTAAGGCCTGCGTGGGGCAGTTGCTTCAAAACTTTCAAACTTTACTTTGCAGAGTGTATGTTCTATGAGATTCATGCTTCTTTGAAACATCCCCTTCAGAGATTTTGGCTAATTTAACCCTTCCTTTCACCATCTTCCCACCTCTTCTTTTTATCACTACAAGCTCTATCAGAAATATTTCTAAGGCCAAGCCCTGGGATAGATACAAGGAATATGGTCTTCATATGATACTTCTTATATGTGGTCTCTTGGAAGAATACGGTTCTTTGTAGGTCGGGAGGCTGTGCTGTGAGGGGGCCACTCAGACTGTGTGATAACATTGAAAGCCATGCCTGCTTTCAAAACCTGGCTCCCACTTTCATTTGTGCACTCTCTGAACATCAGTTTTCCCACCTGTAGAGTGGGCTCCCCAATAGCTAATAATCTCATGAAGTGTTATATGTACCCAAATGTTGTAATGAATGTAAAGTTCCTAGCCCGGTATCCAATACTCACTAGCTGCTGACTATACATAGCCTGTCCTTCTCCTTGTTCTTTTATCACAAGAAACAACCCTTACTCTTCTGTGATGTGCAGGGCTTTAACTACACAGGGTATGATTCTGCTCATTTCTCCTGAGCCAGTGTGTGCTGTGTTTTTATTAGTGGTCTACTCATAAATAACCAGCCTGTATTGTTCAGGATTCTCCAGAGAAACAGGACCAATACAGCCAATAGGATACACATACATGCACACACACACACACACAGACACACACACACACACACACACACACACAGAGAGAGAGAGAGAGAGAGATTTATAATAAGTAATTAATTCACATGATTTTGGAGGCTGAGAAGCCCCCAGATCTTCAGTCAGCAAGTTGGAGAACCAAGAGTGCAGATGGTATCATTCCAGTCCAAGGCTAAAGGCCTCAGAACCAGGAAAGCTAGTGTTATAAGGCCCATTCCAAGTCCAAGTCCAAAGACAGGAGAAAACTGATGTCCCAGATCAAAGACAATAAATAAGAGACAGTTTTCTCTCACTCAGTCTTTTTGTCCTATTCAGGCCCTCAGTGGATTGGGTGAGGCCCATTCATGTTAGAGAGGGTTATCTGCTTTATTCAATTGACCGGTTCATCCAGATATACCCTCACAGGCTTACCCAGAATAATGTTTGACCAAACATCTGGGTGCCTTGTGGCCCAAGTAAATTGATACATAAAAGTAACCATCACACTAATAGTAACCATCACTACTAATTTCTGAGTAGCCCACATTATGTGTTAAACTGTCCATGCCCAGTCAGCCCCACAAAAGAGGTGCTCTATCCTCATATACAGTCAGGCTCTGTGCACAAACTGTTCAGAATATTAGGTAATGCATTCAGCTGGCTCTCCCGTGATGTCATCTTTGCTAGCTCTGAGACCCAGCCAGGAGGTCTGGTGGCAAAAACTGCCCAAGTCGTGTCTTCATCTGGTCCAAGCTGCTGTGTCACGCGATTTTATGGTCCTGAGAAGCAAAGAAAAGAGTTGTCAAGAGCCTGCCGAGAGGACCTGAAGCCAGAAAGGAGCTCTATGTGATGGAAGGAGCAGATTTTAGAGCCAAATAAGACCAGTTCCAGGGTAGACTCCAATGACTTGTAGATGCAGAACTTCAGTCAACCACTGAGCTTCTCAGAACCTGACATCCTTAGCACTGATGTAGGGCCCAGAAGATAGAAACTGAATGTGTAAGAAAGCGAGTGGAAAGCAGTGAGCCCTGTAGCATGTCGTTGGACTATCCCTGCTGCGGGTCTTTTGCACCAGGACCATCACTGAGGCAGAGCTCCCCATGGTCAGCTGAAGCCTTTGCAGTGACTAAATCACAGTTCAGCTTCTCCCTGTGTCCAGCCTTCCTTCCTTCAGCCCCCATGTGGGCTGGCACCTAGAGTTTCAGTAGACCGTGTGGAGACTGAAGAGCCTCAGAACCAGGGCTGGCCCTCAGAACCTCAGTAATCTACTGCCTGAAAATCTTCCACTCAAACTCTGTTTTCCAGGGAATGTGGCCTGGGGCATTAGGGGATGTCATTGGTCACAGATCAATTCAGAACACTTTCAACACATCTCCCAAGCCAAGGGCCTTTGCCGAGGCTGCCATAGGAGCTTATGAAGATGATTACAAGAAAGTTTCTGTCCTGAAGGACTCTGATGTGCAACTCCCCGCACACCCTCCAAGACCTTGTTAGATGCCACCGCTAATGTGAAAGTACTCTGTGATTTTTTAAAAAGAAATACTTCCTCTTCAATTCTCTAGGCATTTCTGTCCCTCCTCCACTGGGCTCTGAGTGGCTGGGAATAGAAACCTCATTCAGCTCCCCATCCCTAGGACCAACACCATGCCCGCCATACTCAGTGCTCAATAAAAGTGTGGGGAATGAATGATATAAATGTGTGAATCATGTTCATGTAGGAAGCTGAGTAGTAAGACACTGAGGCCACACGGACCATCCGTTGCTTCACACGGCAGGAGCCAGCAACAGGCTGCAGGAGGCAGCTGTGGAACGAGGGGCATCTCCGCTGACGTGTGCGTGCCCAGCTCAGAACATTAGACCTGGTGTGGGGTGGGATGGAATGGGACACATGATAGACGATTTCAGTCCACCAGACTCTATTACAGATGACACATCTGAGCATGGCCCAGTCAAATTTCTATCTCTGAGACTGTCACGATGTGGTAGAAAGCAAACTCTGGTTACAAATGCCCGCTATGGTAAATGCTGTGTGACTTGGGGGAACTCATTCACTCTTGTGGAAACTTAGTTTTCTTAACTGTGAAATGGGATCACATCTACCTTCTAGGGAGGATTTCAGAAGTTAATGTGTGTAAAAACACCACAGAAATAGACTTAGGCCCATGATACAGTATAGCATTTCTTTTTATTTCTCTTCTTGGCTATTTTTGGGGATGTGTGTCAAAGCAGACATCCCTGTCTTTTACCAGAGTCAGATAAAATGGTTTATTTGTGAGTGCTTAGCTTTGAACTTGCTCACGGAGTTGAGCTCAATGGGTTATTTTCAGGACTTGATTCTTTTCCTGTGCATTTTCTATTTGATTCGCATCCAATTATGCAGATTCAGTGCTGTGCACCCACCCTGTGCCTTCCCACCAGAGAAGTGCTGCCAAGCAAAGAATAAAATCCACTCCTTCCACCTCCCCTGGGAGCTCTGTATCCAAATCCCTGAGAAGCCCAGCGCATTAACAAATAACACTGGAATCCGCACAGATTGCAGCATCAGCTGGAAGGATTAGAGAACAGGTGCTCCCTTCAAAATAAGCCTTTCCTTGCAGAGACATTTGCAAAACTGGAGTTTCATAGCAAAACGAGCTGATTGGCATAAAAAATCACAGGGAGGTGAGGGTTGCTGCGACAGGCCATGTCTTTTTCTCATTAGCCCCGGCCCCTCTCCCCTCGTGGCCTCTGTTCTTTCCTGCAGCACCTTTGACATCTAGACATTCCACATTTAGAGTTGGTGGAACAAGTACTTATATTCCCTCTGCATCTGAAACCAGCAGCTTCACGCTAGGGGAATTATTTACCCTCTTTGACTCATGGCTTATCTGTCAAAGGAGATACTAATGCCTGGCTCACAGGGTGCTGAGAAGATTAAATGAAATAAGCTTATAAAGGCCTTGCGCATACAGCCTGACACAAACATGCCCAATAAAAACCTCCTGCTGATATTATTTTTTTCTGTTATTTATCCACATAATTAAATCAAATGTTATTCCACGAGCTCCAATGCAGCCTTGTGGTGAGACATTGAGTGAAGGGTCTGCCATGTGGTTTTCCTCAGTGCCAACCTGCTGTGTGACATTGAGCCAGGCACCTACCCTTTCTGGGTCTCAGTTTCTCAAGGTATAGAGAGATAATTGGATATGGTCATCCCGGAGGCCTTCTTTAGCCTTTTGTGTGCTGTTTTTAATTGTGATATCCCTGACACTGCCTGGTCCAGTTGGGGGCAGTTGGCACATGCGCGATGTGTTACTTTCTCCCAAGTAACAGAACCGATAAGTTGTACGTGTGTGTGTGAATGTGTTTGTGCGTGTATATTTTAAGATTTTAAGAAATTGGGTCATGCACTTGTGGAGGCTGGCACGTCTAAAGTCTACAGGGTAGGCTGGCAGGCTGGAGACCCAGGGAAGAGTTGCCATCCAAGTCTGAATGCCGTCTGCTGGCAGAATTTCTTTTTCTTTGGGGAAAGTCAGTCTTTTTCTACTGAAAGGTCTTCAACTGACTGAACAGGGCCCACCCATACGACGGAGGGTTATCTGCTGTACTCAAAGTCTAATGATTTAAATATTAATTTCCTCTAAAAGATACCTTCACAGAAACATCTGTAATGTTGGACCAAATACCTGGGTTTTGTGACCTGACCAGGTTAAGACATAAATAGCCATCACAGCTGATGAATACTCAGGCTCTGACAGACTGTCATTAAAGATCAAGGATTCAGGCTGGGTGTGGTGGCTCACGCCTGTAGTCCCAGCACTTTGGGAGGCCGAGGCAGGCAGATCACCTAAGGCCAGGAGTTCAAGACCAGCCTGGTCAACATGGAGAAACCCTGTCTCTACTAAAAATACAAAAATTAGCTGGATGTGTTGGTGGACACCTGTAATCCCAGCTATTCAGGAGGCTGAGGCAAGAGAATCACTTGAACCCTGGAGGCGGAGGTTGCAGTGAGCCGAGATCGTACCACTGAACTCCAGCCTGGGGGACAGAGTGAAACTCTGTCTCCAAAAAAAAAAAAAAAAAAAATCAAGGATCCAGTTACTCAGAGTGAGGTGCAACCTGTTCTTCCCCAAGGAAGGCTGCACACCCCTTTTCTTTTCACTGACATAAGGAGGGCTGTTCCTTCATCCAAGGGAGGAATGACAGCCTGGTGGGGAGACACAGACTTTAGGGAAATTTCTTTGTCTTCAGACCTCCATTTCCTTGGGCAGGAGCTTTAGTACACGCGCTCATTTATTCATCAGCCA